GACACGCTCGCTCCTTCCCCAGGCCAGTACAGGGTGAGGCCCGGGCACCATTGAAGTTAACTGGAAGTTAGGAAAGTTACCTTGATTTTGAACTTATTGTTTTAAAAGCAATGAAAATAAGTTCGAGATAACTTCAAAATAGCTAAAAACGTTCCAAAATAAGACTTTGGTTGAAAATGTTTGTGTATGAACAAAACAGGTAAATCTGTGTATGTTTTCAGGGTAGACTGTATGCACTTTTCGTTGTTTCTTGATATTTTTGGCTATATATATGTCCGTTGGCTACTAATTTTCTGCACAAGTCAATACCTTGCAGGTCCAACCAGCCACAAAACTTGGTGGGTGCAGCTTTTAGTAGCTGGCAGCCACAAAACTTGGCTGGTCACCAGCCAACGTTTTCAGCTGGCAGCCTTGATTTGTAGCTGCCAGCTAAGAAACAAGGCTGGTATCAGGGACAAGGGGATCGAACTTCGTCATCTATGAGCAGCTCGCTGACCTCGGGGCCCCCGCCAATGCCGGGCATTGCGGAGCAGCCGGGTGAGGAACGACCAAGAGAAGCGCCATCAGTGGAGGAGTCCACTGCCCCGAGTGATAGACCAGAGGAGCAGCTTCGGGAGGTGCGCTATGTGAGGAGAGGTCCAACCTATTGGAGAGTTCATCGAGCTGGAGCTCCACGGCACTGGCAAGGGGTTGAGATGCCATGGAGCGGGATGTGCGCTTGGGCTATGAGAGCAGGTTGCGTGGAGGGTGGAGGAGAAGTACAGGACTCGTTGACTTCGAGCCAGCCCGGAAGCTCTGGGTACATGGGCGATGATCAGGGTTATGATTCAGCCACCTAGTGGTCCCAAGGTGCTCGAGGACATGATGGTTCGACCTTCAGTAAGAGAGAAAGGATTGGAGCATTGTCCTGGAGGACATGACTGGGGAGGCTGAGAGGGCAGATTGGCGTCGCTGGCTGGATGACATGGTGAGCGATGGGTGGAGGGTGGTCAGCAACAATTTGGCACCTCATCGACCAGAAGAGTATTGGGGACCCGATGCTCAAGGAGCCGAGCCAGCGGCTCCGGATCCAGACGAAGATCAGTTTGGATGAGAATTTCATCCCAGATGCCGGTGAGTCGGCCTGGGAGGACGGAACCCTGGGGAGAAGGACGGAGATTCCGAATGACGTCGCAGCTGCGAGATGAGGATAGCTCAGATGAGAGCTTTGAGGCGGTGAACAACTGAGAGCGGCTGTTTTTGTGAAGTGGCTTCAATGAAGCCAGGGGAGTGTGGTCGAAGGATCGCACTGTTTTTCCATCAAGAGAACAAGTTGAGAAGTGTATCACCCTACGAGAAGCGCTCCAGGGTTCATTTGACATGTCACCACGGCCTTGTGCTGTGACTTGACTTGGCACCAGAAAAAGCCCGACGCACTGGGCACACGCTTTGTCATAACCACATATTCAAATGAAGGGTTGTCGGTCCTTGTCGTTCTGCCTAAGAAGGCCCTTTTGCCATACGCACGCCTGTTTCACGCTTTGAAACCGAAGAATTTGCCTCGAACGCTTGAGCGTACCAAAGCAGTTGGTGGGAACGTGGATAGGGGGGTGATACTGTTGATGGACAAAGTCTTGCACCACTGGACGCACAAACTCATGTATACTTTCGTGCTCCCTCTTTAACATTGAGTTGAGGATATGCCTGTACTGAAGTGGTAACGAGGCGGTCCTGCGCACTGCATTGGACGGTCCGACCCAACCCAGAGCTTGATTGCGGTATATATGGTGCGTTGGAAAGGAAAATTTACATGTTGATGCTCAAGATGGAACCGGGACCCGGGCGGCAGCCTGGCGCAGCTTGCAACAAACAACAAGGACGTGAACGCAAACCCTCAACAATATCTTCATAAAGCCCCATCCTGATTTTACCTGTTTGACGGACATTGTACAGCCGAATTCTTCTGTCCACGGTGGGTTCACAGGGCCCTTGAGCCGACCGTGCTGACGCACGCGCAGACAAGCGCATCAATCGGGTGCATTTTGTTGTTCAAAATCACACGCTGCAAATTTTTTTCCTTTGACTCACCTCAAGGGGACGCTCGCCCAAATTTTTTTGAATCGAGACAAGGTGCGTACATTTGTGACAGAAGAAAAGATGAGATACCTAGAAATGTCAGGAGAAAGGTGCAACGTTCCAACAACTGTACGAACGTCCTGTAATGCACGGACACACATGACAAGCGAAAGGTGCTGTAGTTCGATCCACCGTGGCAGAAGTAGAGTTTTTTCCTGCTGTATGTTGTTTCGTTTGTGTTTTGAGAGTGAAGGAACCTGACCGTAACACTGTAGTTAGAGTCTTGAAATTTTGAATTGGTTTTGCAGCGTTGTCGAATGTTCAGGTGCTGTCTGTGAAGAGTTCTTTGTGTTTTGTATGCACATGTACAGTTTTCGAATGAATCCTGGTGTGAGTGAAAAAGGTGCCCGAGGGAGTGCACTGTCTAGCTTGAGTTGTTGACGTGGGCGAACAAATTTTGAAGTGCACCGGACTCATTTGCGAACTAAAAAATCTAGGGGAAGTGTACAGTGTCGCGCAGTGAACACTTTTCCAACCGAGTTGCAGGCCCTCTTGTCATGTGTCACTTGCATCGCTCCCTGATGAGGCAGCCTGAAAGTGATTTTCAGATCTGGCATTTGATGAGCCCTGCAATATTGGTCAACGCGACACCAACTCGCGGCTGGGGTTTGGTCGGTCAACGGGGGTGCCCATTCCACTGCCATTGGTGCGCTGGTTTGCAGCTTTGTGTGCCACTTCGAAAGGCTCGCATGCTTCTGATTTGGCAGCCTCCAAGGCTGGTTCGGTGTGGCTTCGATTGGCGATTTTTTTAGTAGGGGACCGGTTGGCGTCCTGCCATAAACTGGAGGAGTTGGGTGGAAAAGTTGAAGTGTGTGAGAGCAACCGTTGTTGTATGCGGGACAAAGGCAACTCGAAGTGCACGGACTTGCGCTTTCTTCAAATTCTGCATGGTCAGTTCTTGAACCCGATTCTGACCCCATCTATCATCTGTCGACCCGGAGGACCAAAAAGAACACTCTGCACGAACGTATTGGGTCTTGATGGTCATGTGGATCTTTTGGGTCCAGCTTTAAACTCCAGGAGAAGGACGTCCCCCCCCAAAGGATCCGAATTGCATGTGAGGATAGTGTTTCGCCTGAAAACAGTTTGTCCTGTCTGTGGCCCTGCACCAAAGCCCCCGTTTGCCTTGTGGCCGTCGTGAAATGTAGGTCAGTTTCACGCGTCCCCTCCATGCCCCCGACTGCCCACGCGGAAACGTCTTCTGCGACCGGATCACTTAGAACACTGTGAGTTCTCGGGGGACATCCAATGGCTTAGTACGTGCAAGCCATTGGTAAGCCATTGGGCGATGAAGGATTCCTGTACGCTGAAGAAACGAAGAGAAGGGCCTGAGCAAAACATCGCGAAGAGAAGGGCTTTCCGAAGAGATGTAGTCCGCTGGAATATATAATAATGTCAATGAACTAGCATCCATGCGAAACCCTTGCAAAGGGAAACCGCGCACTGATGATCTTGTTTTTTTGGAAAAGCATGGACCGTGCGAGCACGCCCACATGGTTGAGACTGGAAATTGTTGACCAAACATATCTGAGTGATGATGTTGTTGTTTTGTATTAAAAGGAGGTTCATGCAAGGTCTGATCATGACCAGTATCATCGCTGAATCAAGGCAAGGCGAAGCAGAGTTTCAACCATTGGCTTCTGCAAGGCGGCAACGTCCGCTGCTTGTCAGCTCAAGGATAACAACTTTGTCACACACACACACACTACAATGTCACCAACTCGAACTCTTTGTTTTCTCGTGCCCTTCTTGTTGATGTTTTTGAATCTAATTTCTTTTTCGTTGAGTTTGACTTGAAAGCGCTAGCTGAGCTTGGGAAACACTCCAGATTGTCTATTTCATGTTTCGGTGGAATCCGCAGACCCCGTGCTCCCTCTCTCACCCTCTCGATTCAACCGCAGTCTCCCTGGACCTCGGTCCGACGACGATCGTGACGACTCTTGAGACTCGTGAGTCATGAATGACTTCGCTGCCCGGGGTCGCTGCCCGGCGCTGCCGCCCCTATGTCGGCCCAGCGGAAGGTGGGTGAAAACGCCGGGTTGGTGTTTTCTGTCGAGTGGTTGTGCCGAGGTGAAGAGGCCGTGCCGGATTGAAAAGAATCAAGATGATGTTGGAACATGTAAAAGGAGCGCCTTTCAAGATTCTAGCGCCTGAAGAGCTCAAGGAGTGCCCCCCTTTTATAGCTTTCTGATACTAAGAGGCTGCTTTTGGTCATCCAGTGCTCCAAAGCTGAGCCCTCAAACGAATGCAAGAGGACAGGTCCTGCCCGAAAGGGACAGGAGCAGGCCAAGCAAGTTGCGCCCTTTTGGACCAGGCTGTTTGATGATCTCACCCGGTCTATGGGCTGTGACCGCCAAAGACGCGGGCGCCAGGAGACTGGCACGGTGGAGCTCGCCTAGGGCACTGGCAGCAACCCCAGCTGCTTTTTTTGATCGAGGTAATCTTCATGATGCAAAAAATCTGGTGCAGGGTCTGCAGACAACTCGAAATGGGGTGAACAATCCAAGAGATACACCAGGCTAGGAATTCGTGCACCTTTCACCGTTCTCAACATGAAGGAGCCATGTCGGATGTTGGACTTCAGCTGACACCGGTGGTGTTTTTGGTCCCCTCGCCGGTGTCGGGCGCCTCGCGGGGCGCCTCGCCACAGCTCAGTCGGGTCCCCGAGGGCGGCCTGGCTCTGCTCTGCCTCGCCGCGAGCGCCGCGAGCACCGCGACGTCGGCGAGGGGAGGAGTGCCTTGGTCTGGAGCGCGAGGGGGTTCGGTGGTGCAGGAAAGAACCTGCCGTTGATGAGTGAGAATCAAGTCTATGGAGAAGATATATGAAGATCAATTACAGCACCTGGCACTGAAGACAGGCATCCGGACCTTTGCTTTGAGAGCTCGATCTTTGGATTTGCAGCCTCGCTTTCCTTAACCACCGTGTGCTGCCATTGGTTGATCCTTTGTGTTTCTTGCGAGAAGCGGGCACGCAGGTGTGGGCATGTCGCAGAGTTCTGTGCTCCATGATAGTGGTTAACCCACCGTTTCGGGTTCAGAGGCCATTGATGCGATTTGATCGATTGGATAAACTTGCGGGCGAGCTCTGATTATTTTGGGGAAGCTTTGGCGGTTTCTGGTAGCCAACGGTGTTGAAAAAAGCGTGAGACACAGGTCAAAACACTAGTTGATATTTGATAGAACCTGATAGGATCATAAAAGCATTAAAGACAGGAGGTAGGTGCGGGGTAGGGGTGTTGGTCAGGCGACAATGTTGTTCTTGATGACATGGCATTCAGTGCGTCCGCAATTCTTCGATTCGTTTCGTTGAAAACACGACTTGACCCAACAGTGAAAGAGTTCCAGTAATCGCTTTGGACTAAGTGCACACATGCCCTATGAGTCAAACACTATCAGCCAAGCACAACACTACACAGATGTCCTTGGTGGACATCGCCTTGAAAAAAGACTACATACATGTTTGCACGACCAACAGTCAGTTGCGTCCACTCCATGAGGAAAAACCGGTGCAACCATAGATTTGTGGGCCTGGTCTCTCCAACAAGTCACGGGCCTGGTCTGAAGCTGGGTGACTCCCGGATGAACTCCCTCCCGGTGGTGTGGGGTGGAACATTTCGGGTGGGGGACACCCCTGCTCGCGGCGCCCGGCATGTATACCTGCCAAGTCCGCGACGTGCGAAACGGTGCGAAAGTCCGGTACTTTCCGCGAGCGAGGCCACAACCTTCAGCCTTCATGAGGGCTTGGAGATCCGAGAGGCCGAAGCCTTCCCGTCGCGTTTCGTGGCTCCGAAAGGATTCGCCTCAGAAGAACGAACCGAAGGTCTCCAGGTATTTTGTGGCGGCGTAGAAGGATGTTCATGCTTGAAGTTTGAATGGTAGGTTATGGCAAGGTGACAATTCTTGTATGTAGTTGAGAACTCCTTGGTGTGCGCAATCAAGTGAACCAGTACATTTCCCACATTGTTCCCATCCAACCAGGGTTTCCTCTTTGGGGTACATGTGCCGAGTCTATAAGTGGTCGTCGAGGCGGCCTCTTCGTCTAAGATCAATTGAACTGAGGGTGTTTCAAGTCGGAGGGAACCTTCCGAGTTCGTCCGTCCGAGTTCGTCTAACGCCATGCAACGCCCTGGGGCGTGGAGCAGAAATCGATGGCCTCTACGGCCTTGGTTGATTATGGGAAGGGGAAGGGGACCCCCGGTCGTGTACAACAAATTGCGCATATCGTTCCAAACTGAAGGAGATCATTGCTGTGGGCTCCGTCACGCGGAGTTCGCTTCGAGCTGCTTTTGTAGCTTCCCAGCTCCTTTGAGCTCTGGGTCTCTCAGCAGGATGTCCAACATTCCTCTGGTAGCAGGATGTCCACGCTCGCGACTCTTCATTTGGCCTCCGGCAAGCGTGAAACCCAGTCTCCCTAGTTCATGTGCCATTGCAAGCGGTCAGTGGGGAGGAGTGTCTCCTCCCTAAAAAGAACTCTTCTGGCTTGGACCAGGTGGATTTCTCCAAAGGAGCTGGTGCTGGCGCTGGCGCTTGGCCCGCTCCCTTGGCCGCCTTTCTGGGCTTCTCGCTGGCGGCGCTGATCATGGTGCCCGCGGCCGCGTGGCTGGAGACGTGGGGGCCGCTCGGTGGCGGGCGGAACGACCGGTCGCAGAGTCCCGGCCTAACCCGCACGCGAAAAAGCGGGGTTTGAGTTGCCAACGCCGAGGGGTTGGGTGCACGACCCACCCGTCGTATCAAGCATCAAGTTGGCGAGGATTTCCTCTGGAGGGTTTTGACAGGCTACTGAGCTACTGTTTGAGTGTGAGGTGGTTCTCAAAGTCCCGACTGCAACCAGATAACACACAGACGCGACAGATGTTCATATAAGTTCCCTCAGGAGCTTTGAGGCTTGAAATATCGTCTTCGACCCAAGAAAGAAACGCATGCCACCAGCACCTCCTCTTCGGTACCACGCTCCTCTTCGATGCTTCGATCCCAGACAAACCCTGCAGAAGTCCAGGGGCACAGAAGTCCAGGGGCACAGAAATGTGTTTTTTTTTTCGGCCAAAAGGGAAGGAATGCGTGGCGAGTGCGCCGTGGATGCTAAAGAATCGCCGCTGAAACCCACTTTGCCACTGTGAAATCCATTTTGGAGAGCTGGTTTTCAGGACCATCGGGCGAAGTCCGGAGCCAGGAGCCGGACCGGTACTCCTAGGTCGGTGGACCGGTACTCCTAGGGACCCACGGAAGCCGGTTTTGGGGAGGCCTTTGGTTTGAAGACCGGCTCCCGGCTCCCTTGACCCGCCTCACAGGTGGTGGCGGGGCCCACAGTCGCCATGCCCCCCGCCTTTGGTGTGCTCTTCTACCAGCTGGCCATGCTGGCAGGGCGCGCATCCCGAGATGAGAGGTGTCAGGGACTGGACCAAAGCGACTGCTAAGTGGGTTGATGCCAAGAGGATGGCCTATCGATTTCTTCCAGCTGGAAGACCAAGATTCAGACATGGATAGCCCGTTCGTGGGGAGCCATTTGACCGGTTTCCTCTTGGAGGGTTGGAGTCTTCATCGAACCGACCCATGACCCACCGGGCGAAACTCCTTGTCCAGTTTTCGGGTCGGGGCAGCCTGGCATCCACCCTAAGGTTCCCCCGGTCATGGCGACCGAGTGGCAGCCCCCTGCCTATCCCGGTGATGTGAATCGTCTTCGTGCGATGGGTGGTTTTGGACCGGCGGTTCGTTGGTCTCTGAGGCAAAGCTGGTTCCCTTGCATCGTCTCTGCGACCGTCGGGGTGCCTTTTGCGATGGGCCCTCAGACCTGTCCGTTTCAGAAGACATGAAAGGGTGTTTCGTTTCGAGAAAGCCTGCTTAGCACATTTGATCCGCAAAATCTGATCTTAATTATGATCTATTTGTAGGGCTCCAACCATATCCTCAGATGGTTAGACCCCGCTGGCAGCCACCCCAACCACCGAACCTCAGGAGGTGGGCCAGGAGCCCTAGGGTATATATGGGATCTGTCTTGTTCTGTAACAAAAACAGGACTCAGTACTTTTCGACGGTCGGTGCGGAGAGACCACCAAAACATGGGAGTTCGAGGTACGTAATACGGCCGATCAGAGGATCACAACACGAGTCCGGAAAAGTGGATGACCTGCAGAAGCCTGCCAGGAGTCACAAGACGGGGTGGTCCCATCCAGTGAGTGGATGTTCTGGGCACCCCTATCCTCCAATAGGCACCCCTTTGTGACAGCTGGTGTTTGGATCTTTCTGGAGGCTTTTTTGAATTTTGGGGAACCCCGACTCAAAAGGTTGACAGGTGGAAAAAGGAGCATCGGCGCTTGATGCAGAGCGTGTTCTTTTCCAGCGATTGGAACTGAAGCGCTTTCGTGGTCAGAACAGGTCGAAACAGGTTATTACCGGTATTTCCATGTATTTCCCAGCGATTTCCTGCGGAGGGCCAGACAACATTTGAGGATTGGACCAATTTTTCATCTGTTTCGGTCAACGACTCCCTGTTTCGGTCAGTGTCGCCCAGAGATTTGGTCCAGAAGGTCCATGATTGGGTTTCAAGCAACACGTTTTTCGACCGATGCCCCGTACATGGGCCATGGGGGATGCCATCGCTATTAGGTTGGAGGCCTTCGCTATTACAGTAGGTTGGAGGCCTTCGCTAGTAGGTTGGAGGCCAT